TACAGTTTTAAACAGTATAAGTGATTAGGGCTTTCACTTATTTTTGACTTTTTTTTTCATAGCGGAAAAGGCCTCAGTATTTGTAGGCTATATATCAGGGAAATTGTCCTATCTTTGTTTTTGCTAACTTTCAACCATATTAATACCCTGTTTGTAATGCCTTAAGTGATTCCTTACTCATTTGAGTGTTTAAAGCCTGAGGACTCTGAGAAAATAATAGCTGGGATTTTCAAAGGAGTTAGGGGACCAAACCCTATTAACTTTCAATCGTATTTGAGCCCCTAACTTTCTTAGGTTTCAGAGTAGCAGCCGTGTTAGTCTGTATCCGCAAAAAGAACAGGAGTACTTGTGGCACCTTAGATTTGTTAGTCTCTAAGGTGTCACAAGTACTCCTGTTCTTTTAACTTTCTTAGGCGTCTCTGAAAATTTCATCCCACATTTCTCCTTCCCAACTCACTCTTTCAATCAAGGTAAACATTTAGCTGTTTTCTCATATGTCGTCTTCACTATTCAATGGAAATCAGTTCTATTTTACTCAGAAATGTTCCCCACTCTATTGTGGATGCATATCACAAGAGATGCGCAAAATCCAAATCTTGGTAAGGTTATGTAAGTGAAGGAGGAAGGGAGTGCCTTTAATGTTTTAAAATAAGTGTATTTGCTATTCTGTCTAGACACATTCACTTATTAGTCTGAGATCTGAAAGTCTTTTTAAAAATCTCTCTGCTGCCTTCCACATTTCAATCAGGTCTTGAAAAGTGAATATTAACAGAGGTGGCAACAAACTTTTAACTAACAAAAATGAAGCTCTCCTACTGGAATAAATTTAAATGCTCTTGCTTTGAAAGTTCAGCTGCAGTAATTCCTGTTCTATTAGGACAGTTGGGTCAAATTCACACATCACTGGAGGAACTCTGAATGATTTATTTTGTAGCAGACTGCTTTTTCATTTTCTAAGTATTGGGTCTTAGGCTCTTGTGGCAAGGAAAAGTGTTTTTAAAGAAATCATTTTGTTTAAATAGTATTCAAAATAATATTCAGAGTGACTATTTTCCTTGACAACACAAGTGTAAATGTGATGACTAAGGCTACACAGCGACACTCAGGCCTGTTCTGTACTTAAATTAGATTGACCTAGCTATGTCACTCGGGCCTGTGAAAAATGTCATGCCTGAGTACTGTGGTTAGGTGGACCCAAGCCCATGTGTAGACACAGTTAGGCTGACAGAATAATTGTTCTATTGACCTAGCAACTGCTTCACAGTTAGGTGAACTAATCACATCAATGGAAAAACCCCTTCCATTGATGCGAGAGCTTCTACACTAGGCACTAAAGCAGCACCCCTATGTTTGCTGTAGCTTCTGTGGTGTAGACAAACTTCAGGAAAGTTAAAATTAAGTCATGTCTAGACTTCCACATATGTCAGCAAAACTTACGTTGCTCAGGGAGGTGGGTAAAAAACACACCCCTGAGCAACGTAAGTTTTGCTGGCATAAGTGCTCGTGTGCACAGCGCTATGTTGGCAGATGTTCTCCTGCCATCCTAGCTTCTGCTGCTCATTTAGGTGGTTTTATTATGTCGATGGAAGAGCTCTCTGTCATCAGCATAGAGCGGCTACATGAGCGATCTTAGAGGCACAGCTGTATCGGTACAGCTGTGCTGCTGTAAGCCTGCTAGTGTAGACGTGTCCTAAAAGTGTGAAGTTAAGTGCATTTAAACCCCTGTGCAAATTCTTGGATTAAGTGATAGTGAGCTAAGGCCAATTTACTTCTGAAAAAAATCCCCATGTAGATGCTCTCAAGGTACTTTAACTAATACACTTAAGACCTTTAGTTAATTCATCTTTACTTTCCTGAGTGCCCCATGTAGACAAGACTTTAGCTTTTACTGTATAGAAAGGCATTTCATATTTTAATCTTCCTCAGAGATGGTTAAAAGTTCCCCAGTATCATGTCATGATCCAATATATAATGGCTTTTGCAAGCTTTGCATTTTAAAGAAAGATATGTTTATGGATTGCACTTTAAGAACTTCCCTTGGTTGTGCACTTTTGGTGGGAATTGCTGTCACTTAAGCCAAGTCGAACTAGACAGCCCAGTAGTGAGTTTAGGTAATTTGATGATAGTGAACTCTTCCAGACTTTGTGTTTGAGTTTTAGCAGGTCTTAATATAATCAGGACTTAAAGTATTGACAAAAATCTGTAATAAACTGAGCTAAGTTATTTCTGGCAATTTACATGAGTTAGATTAAAGAGCATATTTTAAAAGTTCATTTACTTATGTGACAGAATACCCAAATTTATTAAACTTAAACACCAAAATTCTGACTGCTATTTATTTTTAGCTGTCCATCCTGAGAGAAGCGTATGAAACTAAGGCCATGTCCACATTAGCAATCTTATTGTGGCACAGCTGTACCGATGTAAGATCGCTCGTATAGCGGCTCTATGCTGATGGGAGAGAGCTCTCCCATCAACATAATAAAACCATCTCCATGAGCAGCGGTAGCTATGTCGGCGGGAGACCGTTTCCTGCTGACATAGTGCTGTGCACATTGGCGCTTCTGTCGGTGTAACTTATGTCACTCGGGTGTGAAAAAACATCCCTCAGAGCGTCATAATTTATACCAACAAAAGTGCTAGTGTAGGCATAGTCTGTGTCACTTCTGTCCTCTTCTATCATTGCACAAAGGGCTGGTCTCCACTACGGGAGATCAATGCTGCTGCTGCAATCGATGCAACAGGTATCTATCTAGTGAAGACCTGATAAATCGATGGCAGAGCACTCTCTGGTCGACCCCGTTACTCCAGCTCTTCGAGAAGGGTAAGGCAAGTCGACCGGAGAGCGTCTCCCATTGATTTAGCGCAGTGAAGACACTGGGGTAAGTTGACCTAAGCTAGGTAGACTCAGCTACATTATTCATGCAGCTGGAGTAGTGTAACTTAGGTCAACTTACCCCAGTAGTGAAGACAAGCCCAAAGTTAAGGTTGCAGACATGATAGGCAAATCTCTTGTTTAAAGAAACCAAAGGCCTTGTTTCCTCTGGAATGTTAAAAGCATGTTAGAAGAAAAAAATATCCATCTCAAGATTTTTTTAGATTTTGTAATATGGAGTTTTAAGTGTGGGCCAAAACTGATCTGACAGTGTCCCTTTAATGTCTTCCAAATGTCAATATACCAAAGTGAATATATGCAGCAACAGTGAATTTCCTCTATCTACTTGGACATCTTTAATACAAGCAGAATGATTTACTGTAATTGACTAGTTATGAGATTTTTCCTTCTCATGGAAACGTATGTATAAATAACGTAACTAATGCCCGATTACATCATTAGTGAACACCACACTTGGGCCCCAGTCCTGCAAACACTTGAGTAATGTTAAGCAAATACATGTGAGTAGTCCAATTGAAGTCAATGGGACTGGTCATGTAAGTGATGTTAGGCATGTGCATAAGTGTTTGTAGGAGCAGGGTCTTGAAGACCAACTGGCTCCAGTCTGCTAAAAGATAACTAGTCTGTTAGTATTGCAAACCATGCCTCATTATGAGTATGTCTGCAAAGCAGCTAGGCGGCTAGCTAGCGGGCACACTCATTTTCAGGTCGAGGAGAGCTAGCATACGTATATTCTATCCGTGCTGGGAATTATACCCCCTACATACATATGTGGGGTCTGGCAGGATTGTACTTGAGTGGCTAACCTCAGTCACCATCCAAGTTGTCACAGCCACGCTGCTGTATTTAGGCACCAACACACACATGTCTACCTGTGTTGCAAATTACACCTTCTGGTTGTTGTGTAAACTTCCTCCTTGTATGTGCACCTTGAGTGGGTTTGTTTTGAGGTTTGCACATCCTGAGAACTGATATTAGATTGGATAACTTTTAAAACCGTTCAGTCAGTGTATTAAGTTATGTGAGATGCCTTGAGCATGGGATAGGTGATGGAGAAATCCAACTATAGAGTAGCAAACTTGAACTACAATCTTGTTTAAAAGTACAGAGGCTAAAGAGTGTGAAGTACCGCAAGCAAAAAGTATCACGTTGAGTGATTCTGGTTTGTATTGTCTAACAAATGTAGACTTGCAGAATGCTTCGTTGAGTTGTTTCATATGCTTACTGATCTTTCATTGCTATGGAAAGCTCTGGAAAAGCTTGGTTATTAAAGATACCTTGAGTAAAATTTTAATATGCTTTTTAAAAAAAGGTTTTGGATATTGGGAGTTGCTACAGTGAAAGAAACATATAGGAAAAAAGACAATTCAAAGACAGGAAAGGGGCAAAGAAAGCAGGATGTCTTTTTCCTGAATGTCTAAATAAAATTTCTTGTTTCAGTTTAAAAAATTTTAAACCTATTTTGAAGAGGTCTTCAGCCAATGGCTGGCTCGTACTGGGAGCGACAATTGCTTTCTAATTAATATTAGTCTGCGTACATATTTCAGTTTCCATTGCAAACTTCCTCTAAACTGTAAGTGCACACATGTTCATCTATGTTTAAGGGTACACTTGTTGGTTCAGGAAATTAAGTGCAAACAAATCTAGAAGAGCTCTTAAGCTCTCCGTCAGATAGTTGCATGCGCAAGTGCTGCCAACCAATCCGCTCTGGATTTTCTTCATATTTCTTTTAAAAAAAACCAAGCAAACAAAAACAAATATCATTGGAAAAGCAAAAATCCAATTGTGTGTAATTAAAATCAAAATGTAATATGTGGTGTATTAAATGTGTGGCTCAGTATTGCTATTTGTTTAATGTTGCTGTTTGTGACTGTAATAGTTAAATAATATTGCTGTCATGAAACATATATAAAGTGCAAGACAGTCAAGTTAAGGCTGCTCTTCGAGCCTTAGCCCTTGCATTTCCTCACTCTTGTCACATTGCAGGGATATTGCTATCACATTACCTCAGTTCTTTGCATGTAATACAATTTTTAAAAATTCTTTAGGTACTCTTCAATGCAGTAATTCCTCTTAACAGTCTGTTCCTTTTTCTTGCCAACAGGTACAGTTCTTATCCGAAGTAACAATGGTCAACTAATGTTAGTATCTCAACAAGCAATAGCTCGAGCACAGAGCCAGACACAAAATAACACAGGTGCAAGACCATCAATACCTACCAGCACACCTTCAGTCAGAATATGTACTGTACAGGTAAAACTTCTTCAAGCAGCTTGATTTTGCAATAGCTGTACCGTATTATGTTTCTTAATATGATGTATTTATAACTTAGTATTTGCAAACCTTGTAGAAGATTCATTAAATGTTGTTTGAAAGTCTTAGTTTTTCCTTAGAATTAATGTCACTGTGTATTTTGCTTTCATACTTTAAAAACTAGGCTTGGCCAGTTTTGACTTTTATCAGTAAACGTCAGTTTCACCATACAGTCACAAACTGACTAAAATATTTCCATCAATAATAATCAGAATTTACAGATGGGCAAAGTAAAAAATGCTGCTCACATTTTAGTTTGATTTAAGAATATTTATTTTGTATATTTTGAGGTGGTGATGACTGTCTTAACAGTTTATAAAGCTTACCATTTTGGAATCTGTCATTAATTTCCTGACCCCTTATTGTCTGACTCCTCTACCCCATAACTTCATGCAACTGTGAAAATTTAAATTGATTAATGAAAAAATTAAAAATATCAATTCTGTTGAAATTAAAAATAAAAATCTGATTGTGCAAAGCCTATTTAAAACAGACTCTGCTACTTCGCTCTGGATTGCGGAGCTCACATGATGAGAGAAGACTTTTAGAACATACAATTTTAAAACAATTTGATGTTTAATTGTAACTAAACTAGCATTGGCATTGGCTCCCATTTCCTTTCAATAGACATATTACTTAAATAAGTATTGAACTTGAAAACCCTTCCAGTGAAATCCTGTAAAACCTCCTAAGGTAATTATTTTTATAGCATAGCTAGCAAATAATCTCTAACAGTGGATTTCAGCCTTGCTGTTCTCACACACGGTCCCTTTTAACCAGTGCAGTGGCCCCTGTAATTGGCTCAAATGCTGATTTTGAAAACAAAACTTCTGAAATTACTAGTTGTGCAATTACTAGTTTATATGCTCCTCCCTGAATTGCTGCTTGTTCCTCCTATTTAGTTTGTAAACTCTCTGGCAGAGGGCCATCTTCTTGTTGTATCTGTACGGTGCCTTGCACAATGGCACCTGTAGGTGTTACCACAATACAAATAGAGGGCCATTGCTGGGTATTCTAGGCACACTTTGTATGTCTTCAAAACAAAGAACAACAAAAACCCAACCCTGGAATTTAAAAAAAAAAAAGGAAGGAAACACTTTTAATGTTTGTGTTTTAATGTTTGCTTTGAAAGCACTGTGTATGCTAAGTAGTTATATTTTGTTTTTAACATTCCCCTGCAGTGTTTGCAGCTAAGGGCTTGTCTTCACAACCCGCCTGGATCGGCGGGTAGAAATCGATCTCTCGGGGATTGATTTATCGCGTCTCGTCGGGACGCGATAATCGATCCCCGAATCGACGCGCGTACTCCACCAGCCCGGGTAGGAGTAAGCGCCGTCGATGGGGGAGCTGCGGCAGTCGATTTGACGCCATCCTCACAGCGGGGTAAGTCGGATCAGATACGTTGAATTCAGCTATGCTATTCCCGTAGCTGAATTTGCATATCTGAAATCGATCCCCCCCGTAGTGTAGACTAGCCTAAGTTACTGTGGCATTGCCTTCAAATTGGAGAATACTCACCATTCGCTATCTAAAATGAATAAAATAAAAGTAAATGATACAAGGTTTGCGTGTGGTTTGAAAAAAAGAAAGACTTGATTTGTTGATAAAACTCAGTTTTTCTAAGACTTAAAATTCATATTTAAGAACCTAGGTAGGTGCCCTGAATTTCAAAAGTGCTGAACTTGGAGGCCTATCTTTAGGTATCCTCCTTGGCCAGAGTTATTAGTTGTTAGTTTAGTGGTTAAGGGGGGAAGCTGTGGACGTGGTATATCTTGATTTTTAGGAAGGATTTGACACAGTCCCGCATGACATTCTCCTACGCAACCTAGAGAAGTGTGGACTAGATGGAATTACTATATGGTGTGCGCACAGCTGGTTGAAAGACCGTATACTCAGAGTAGCTGTCAAAGTGGGGGGATGTATGGAGTAGGGTCTCTTCTGTGTCAGGTACTTATCAATATTTTCTTTTAATGACTTGAATGATGTAGTGGAGAATGTGCTTATGAAATTTGCAGATGACACCTAACTAGGAGGGGTTGCAAGCACTGTGGAGGATGGGATTAGAATTCAAAATGACCTTGACAAACTGGAGTACTGATCTGAGACCAACAGAATGAAATTCAATAAAGACAAGTGAAAAGGGCTACATTTAGGAAGGCAAAATCAAATGCACAACTACAAAATGGGGAAATAACTAGCTAGGTAGTAGTACTGCTAAAAAAAAAAAAGTCTGGGAGTTATAGTGGATCACAAATTACATATATGAACCAACATGATGCAGTTGTGAAAGGCTGATATTTTGGGATGTGTCAACAGCAGTGTCATGTAAGACATGGGACGTAACTGTCCCGCTCTGTTTGGCACTAGTGATGCTTCAGCTGGACTATTGTGTACAGCTTTGGGTGCCGCACTTCAGGAAAAATTGGAGAGAGTCCAGAGAAGAGCAACAACAATGAAAGAAGGTGTAGAAAACGTGACCTAGGAGGAAATATTTCAAAAACTGGGCATGTTTAGTCTTAAGAAGACGGAGAGGATCTGATAAGGCTGTTATAAAGAGGACTGTGGTCAGTTGTTCTCCATGTCCGTTTAAGGTGGGTCAAGAAGTAATGGGTTTAATCTGCAGCAAGGAAGGTTTAGGTTAGATATTAGGAAAAGCTTTTTAACTAGAAGGATAATTAATTAAGCACTGGTATAGGCTTCCAAGGGAGGGTGTTGCACCCATGTCACTGGAGATTTTTAGGAACAGGTTAGACAAACAACTATCGTCAATGGTCTAGATATACGTCATCCTGCCTCAGCACATGGGGCTGGACTAGTGACCCCTCCCAGCCCTACATTTGTGATTCTATGTATATCTGAAAATACATAGAATTTTAGCCTTCATGTATGAACCACACAAATCTGGATATATCAAAATGAAGAGTAACCAGAGTGATTCTCTTCATGACATGGTCACCGTTTGACTACTTCTGTACTAATCAGCAAAAATGCCCAAACTATTTTGTTTACTGTACTGTATCTGTTTACCTTGTTATAACATTGGTAGTTAAGTAGGTTTATTTACACCTGCACACTCCTTCCCAAATTCATTTTTAAATTGTTAGATTAAATTAATGCCTTTTAAAAAAATGTTTTGCATTGGGCAAGAGTAAGTACTAGTTTAGGTAAATGTTTATAACTCTATTAATTAGTCTAACTACTACTTTATGCCTTCTGTATCTTAAATATTCTATCTTTTTATTTTAAAGAACACTGGCACCCATTTATTAAAAAAAGTAGTAGCAACTCCTGTGAAAACAGTAACTCAAACAACAAATTCAGTTGTATCTCCTGAACAAAGACCTGCTATAGTACAGGTATGTCTTTAGCTTTTTTTTAAGCTGGCATTGAGTTCTTTAATATTTTTCCAGATAAAAATGAAGATTATATAATGTTTAAAATTTATAATTTTACGGGGTTGCCCGAACAGCTCAGGAGAGCCAATATCAAGATCAGTGGTTTCCAAACTTTTTTGATTGCGCACACCTATCAGTAAACATTTTTTGAGCATGCACCCCCTGCCGCACCGCAGCGCCGGCTCTACTGTTTTTGCCACCCCAAGCCCTCCCACCCCCCCCAAAAAAAGCCACTCGGACTTCCGCCCGAGCTGCCGAAGCAAAAAAAGAAGCCGCCCGAACTGCCGAAGCGGCGCTGCTCCGGTGGCGCTCCTCCTGCCGTGCACCCCGACGGATCCTCTTGCTCACCCCCTGGGGTGCGCGCACCCCACTTTGGAAACCACTGATCTAGATTAGAGACAAGATGGCTGAGGTAATATCACAGAGCTTTGTGTAAGCTCAAAAGCTTGTGTCCCTTATCAACAGCAGTTCATCAATAAGATATTCCCTCACCTACCTTGTGTCTCTAATATCCTGGGACCAACATGGCTACAATAACACTATATGATTGTATACAGATTGGCAGTTGCTTGTATATACAGTCTGACTTTAAATTCCATAGCTATATTTTTTTAAATACACTTCTATCTAGATACTGGGATAGAGACAGCTGTCTCAGTGTAGTGTTTCACTATCTGCAGCAGTATTGTCTCTGGGCATGCTTTCTTTTTTAAAAGAATCCCTTGTACATCACAGTCTAGCTCTCTGTACAGGGCTACCTATCTGTTCTTAGGGAGCAAAATACTAGATAAACATTGTATAATAGCAAACTAATCCTTTCTGTACTAAAATATTCTCTACTCCCTTTCTTGGTGGCAAAGAAGCCAGGGTGGGGAAGTTGGCCTGGGGGAAGTCTGACATGTTAACCATGTTCTCTTTCCCATCATGAAAAGACAGCATGAAGGGACTTGGGCTGTGTCAGGTGGCTCAGAGTCCTGAGCAGGGGCACTCATCCCCACTGGCTGAGAGTTCTTGACTTGGCTGGTCATTAGGAAAGGGACTTCCTAGCCTACAGCAGTAATTAACAAGCTGACTTCTAAAGCTGTCCTCCTGCTGTCTTCAGATGCCCACGTATATTGGCAACAGATCAACTTATGACATCATAAAGAGAGGGTAAGGGGGAGAGTCTTCACCCCCCTGCAATGAGGAGGAAGCAAAGGGGGTGAGGAGAGAAATATGGCAGTCACTTCATTTTTAAATTTCCTATTTTATTTATATGCATAGGGAAGAATGTAAATCTTGCATCCATCAAGAACAGATATGGGTGTTATGCTTTGCTGTTTGTTCTTCAGTTTGGTCTAATTACAGGTGTTTGTAAACCTTCTCATATGCTGGTGATGTCTGTAGACAGAGGTCCTCTCATGGACCTCTCCACTCCAGATCCCACACCACTTCTGGATACTAGCAGTAGGGAGATGAGGTGAAGATAAATCTGTTTAATCTTATGGGTGATGCTGCTCATTTTAGTCTTTGCAGCCCAATCCTCCATCCCTATATTTAATTAAGTGGCTTTATATTTGGTAACAAATCTCCCTTTGTTGCACACACTGTTTCAATTCTGCCATCCTTTTGCAGTTTGCATCTCTCTTCTGTTCAGTTTGTATTGTCAACCTGTTTGGCCAGTTTTACATTTTTTATAAGAAATACCTGACAAAGACGGACACATAGCGGTCTTTTACAAAGGGATGCTTAGAGGTATTTGGTTTAAAAAAAAAACAAAACTCCTGGTCATCCTGTGAGTCTGACTAGACAAGATCACTGTCTGAAGAACGATAGGTGCTTTGTCTTTTACAGAAGCAGCCTTATAGACTTCCAGTTTTCTAAAGGACCAAAGTCTAAACACCACTGCGCTAAAGGGCAAATCATCCTGCCCTCTCTCAGAAATCCTGAATAAATTAGTGTAGTATAGAGGGGTCCTGCCACCACAGGACCATTTCCCCCCCCCTCCTGTTCCTGGCCCTGGAGCAACCAGTGGAGCATCTAAGCTTGTCTTGAACTGTCTTTGAGAAAGGAAAGAAGGGAGCCCCAGAGGCCTGTTCTGTGGCTATGTTGTATTAACTAGTCAACCCAGAAAAATCAGCTTGCTAGCAATGGTATCAACAGCATCAGAAGACCATAGTCAGGAAGTGTTTTTGTATGGGGGGGGGGGGTGTTGTACACACATACATACATACATACCGTATTTTCCGGCGTATAAGACGACCTTGTAACCCAGGAAAATCTTCTCAAAAATCGGGGGTCGTCTTATACGCCGGGTGCTGAAACTTCCGAGCCGGACTGGAGAATCTGCGGTCACCGCATATGGTGGGGGGAGCTCAAAAACGGCCGCGGCCGCATGAAAGCAGCAAGGGCGGAGCAAGCTGCAGGTGTCCGGGACGCCCGGGGTATGGCAAAAAGAGAGAGAGCGGTGCTGTGCCCAGAAAAACG